GTCCCGTCCCTCTCCCCCGCCCGCCACCTCGTCGTGACCTCCGGCCATCCCGAGCAGATATCCATCAACAACGTCGGAGTCTCTAATACCCCCATTTTCGACGACGGATTTGTCGTCGTCTACGCAATTGACAATTTCTTCGACCTGAATTTCACCCTAGCGGACGCGGATCCGGCCAACACGAACCCTATATCCTCACAGTGCCTGAAGCTTGAATCATCCTCCAGATTTGGGGACGCGTCCGGAGTTCTGAAATCGAGAGGCTACTCGTTATTTTCCTCGTTTCTGGAACTGCAGCTCATTGGATTTCTGGGGAACTCACACGACGCTGTGAAACCGTGGACAGTTTTTGCAGCGATGGACGAGGAATTGGTCCAGTTTTCAGGCGATTTCGTAGGCCTCTCTTCTTTGTTCATGAGGCATTTGGCTCCGTGTAAACTAATGTGGAATGATATGGATGAGATGGCCAACGGGACTGTGGTGTCCAACAACGTGAGCGGTTTTAGCTTGGAGATTACGAAGGATGAAATTGATACAGTGATGGTGAATGGAGTCGAAATCACTTTCCCAGAGCTGTACGAGAGCGAGTGGCTGGTGGTTCATGGGATACGAGCAGTGATTGCTTTGCCGGAGATTGGCGGCGAGGAGATGGAAGTGATGGAGGATTTTCCGGTGGAGGAAGACAACAACTCGATGGCTGTGGATAATAGGGAATTTTGAGGTAACTTGTTGCTAGTTTACTGAATGAAGCGTTCTTCTTTTGCATTGGAGAATTTTCATGTCTTGAAAAGGGTATGAGTGCTTTTAGTGTTCTTAGAATTGGAAATTGGGATTGAAGAGAATATGTGAATTGTGGAAATTCTACTAATGGAACTCTGGAATGAAATTTCTTGTTGAAAAGTGGCTCGGTTTATCTGTTGTTTTCGGGTTGTAAATTCAGGGGTGCATCTTGATAAAACTGGTCATCGATTTAATGGAATTGAGTATGCAACTCATATTTTTCATTTTCTCAATGGTCAAGTAATTTTGCTCTCAGGAAGATTATTTGTTGACTTAGAAGTTGCTTTTTACCTGAATTAAAAATATCTGCCTAGCTTTGAGTCTCGAACATGAAGCTTTGGTCTGTTCCAAGTGCTTTTCTGTTTGGATTTCTGAGTAATATAGAAGCAAGTGATGAACGGTGGGAATAAAAACTCTTGAAAAAATATGAAAAAAAAAAAGAAGAAAAGAAAGAAAGGAGTTAGTCCTCAGCTTGGTAGGAAAAGATACTCCTGTTGATCCTTGCATTTCTGTGCTTCACTTTCGAATGCCCTACTTTCGACTCAGCAAACAACTCTGAGCTAAGCTCTCATTTTCTTATTTCAAGTGCTCCCCCGCTTCTCGGATCGCTTCTTATGGGGTTAATTTGTTGTCTAGTTTCCTGTTCTCCCATTACTTTGCTAAGCTACTTTATCATTGTTTCCTCTAAGGTATGTATACACAATATAGTATTTGCAAGAGAGAACAGGAATTCAATTTGTCGAGTTGCCTATCATCAAGTTAATCAAAGAAGTCACATAGTTGTTTCATACGGATCATCTTTTATATAAAGAAGTAATTTGTTCAGTGTTTGTATCCCAATTTATACCTCACATCACGATCATTAGTGGTAAATTTTATTGCATAGTATATGGTATAATATGGGTTTATTTTTCACCAGCCTTGTGTTGACAGCGAAATTAACTAATCTAATTCTGGAATCTGGATACTATTCTTTCCCTTTCGTTTCTTCCCAGATTACTGGGGCTATTCTTACGTGCTATCTTAGTTTGGCTCAGAAGATTACATGATACACCGGTTCGTGACAAAGAAAATGTAGTATAGAGCATATGAGATTTGCACAAATATCCTCAAGATTTGAACATAGGAATAGCTGATTCAGTAATACCATAATCTTTCTGTTCTTTTTACCCTAAAGGCACAAGATGTGTTAGCATTAAAGTTTTTTTTTTTTTTAACCAAATCAAGTTTCTTTCAAATACTCATGTATATTAGCCATGCAATGGCAAAATCCTCTTTGCCACTGTTAAGAAGTAACTGCTTCAGGTCTTTTAACATGCGATAAACAGAGTTCTTATAC